AGTGAAAGCCCCCTCTCTGCTCCTTCCCAGCCCTGCTCTGTTCAACGTAACGCAGCACAGATGGCTCTGGTGCAGGTGTCCAGGTGCAAGCCTGGAGCGGGCAGCGCGGCAGCACTGCAGCAGTGCCGGGCGCTGCCGGACCTGCACCGCTCAACCAGCACCACCCGGCTCCCCTTCCCCTGCCCGCAGGGAGGATTTCCAGCCCTGCCGCGAGCCGCGCGCTCTCTTCATCTCTTGCCCGGTGCAAACTTTACTTGCTCCGCAGCAAAGAGAGCCTGAAACCAGCCTTTGTTGTGTTGTTGTTTCATTTGTTTGGAGACCAGATATTTTTCTTCCCTCTAATAATTTTTTGAGCCATCCGTCCACATATTTATTTACCTTTCTCATGTTTAATGATTTGCAAGACCATAAGCAGCCTGTGGTTTGGAAACCATACGACAATCTCCGAGCAGCACTGGAGATAGAGTTCTGAACTACTTTCTAACATGAATAAATAAATAGCGTGGAAAGGCTCCATTGTGTATATTCTAGGTTGCTATTTTCTTAACCCTGTCTCATTAAGATGGATGGAGTTTCTGCCTATTAGTAATTTGGCAAGTTCCTCTTTGTGTACACTCTACACTTCTCACTAATGATGCTTTGCTTCAGTGATTAACAAAAGAGACTTCCAACATAGTCAGTGAAAACACAGCCACGCACTTGGGGCACTGGGACGGAAACCCAGTGTTCTGGAGATGCCGTTTGTGGAAGACAAGAAACGGCAGGGAACCCAGAAAAGGAAACGCTGCCGGTCATAAAACCTTTTCTGACATTCAAATAATTTTGACCTAAGGACATTGGTTCTTTGATTTACACGCACAATTGCAGAGCTGACAGAGCCTATAACAAAGTGATTCAGAGCCCTTGCACTGCTGTTCCTAACACGCGTCCGATGGAGATGAAGCTGGCACTGCTACTGCCTGGATTTACAGCTGGCTATTAAAGTATGTTTACAAGCCTTTAGTACAGTGTACACATCTGGTAAATCATTGATTGAACAAATAGCTCCTGGTGTCATGCTCCCTGACAACTTTTTCCACTACTGTTACCCAGCACAGAATCATCTGCTCCAGACCCTGCCAGCCCGCAGGCAGCCATGTCGCTTGTGCCCAAGCAAGCAAGCAGCCACCAGATCCCCAGATTTGCACACATAGCCCGGGTTGTCACTGCGATCTGGATGCTGTTGGACACACACCTACACACAAAACCCCACGCAGGTCTCTGGCACACCCAGCTGATCCATGCCTTACCCACAAGCAGCGAAAGTGGTATCACCTGCATGGGACAGAGTCCCAGGTAGCTACGCAGTGGGCAAGAACAAGAGGGAAGGCCATTTCTTCCTAGGGATGCACACCAGAGCAGAGCAGGCCATCAGGAGCGCCTTCACCAGCCTGTCGGCTGCCTTCCCGCAAGCTGGACCCACGGCCCGCCCCCCGCACGCAGGACGCGCTCAGCCCCTTGCCACGGCCCAGAGCCACAGCCAGCTGCCGGCATGGCTGGCTGGCATGGCACACCCAGCAAAGGGGGACGTGAAACCCATCCTGAGAGTAATCCTGCAACTGGACACACTGTGGGCAGACCAACACCCCGGAGACTCACCAGCAGGCAAGACAAAGCTCCTAATGAAGCGTGATGTAGGATGACAGCTCTTCTCTGCCTGCAGCCACACAAACCGAGGAGTGAGAGCCAGGGCTGGCAGGGCCCCGGGTTTGCCGTGTCGGCACAGGCGCAGTGGAGGAAAGGCAGGATGGAGACAGCGCAGCACCGCGAATGCGGGGGGAGCAGCACCCGTCACCCGGCACTGGGGTGGCATTGCGCGCAGCCCTTGCACAGGACCCGCACTGAAGTCTCCCTTGCAGTGGGAGAAAAATGCTGTGTTTGGTGTTTTACCAAGTGTGTCAGCGCCCGGGGGGGGGGAGCGGGAGGAGCTGCAAGCCCCTGCCATGGCTCATTGTGCCTCCATGAGAGCATCTGGCCAGCTGTGCAGTGAGCCAAACCCTCAGTCCCCTGGCCACGGAGCTGGGCAAAGGCCAAAGGGTAAAGGGCAAACCACGGGAGCAGAAACAAAGCTAGATCCGCTCATTCATGCAAGCCTTTTCAAGAGCTTTTGGGCGACTGGACAGACAGACATGGGAGAGCAGGACTCACCATCCATGTGTGAATCGCCACAGGCTGACAGGTCCGTGCAGTCACTGTGCAGCAGCTGGAAGGAGGTGCAGGATCCTGCACTCACGGCAGGCTTTTAAGCAAAACAAGGGTGCAGGGACTGCTACCAGCTAGACACAGAGCTTAGAAAGGCAAGGGGAACAGTAGCAGCCTGGGTTTCTGCAGGGAAGGCACTGCATCCAGCACAGCTCCCGCAGCCTGGGCGAGGACAGCCCAGCCCTACCGCAGAACGGGTCCGAGTCCGCAGGGCATCTGCCAGGGCTCAGGCAGCTGCAAGTGCTGGAAATCACATCAGGGAAGGGGGAATTGCCAAAAAGGAGGGGAGGAGAGTCCACGGGGGAAGCCTGGAAAAGCCAGCCCAGACAGCAAGCAGGGGAGAGTTCCCTGCTGTCATCCCACTGTGAGCCGTGACCCAGGGGAACCCAGCCCGGAGAAGCATTTAGCCAGCTTCCAACCTGCCCGGATCACTCCTGCAGGCAAAATGCCCGCTGTGCATCGTAGTCCGTGCCCACAGACACCGGGCGACATGGGGACTGGGAAAAGCCAGCACAGAGAACCGAGGCAGATTCTCTCCTGGGCTTGTTGAAATTACATATTGGACAAGCACAGCTGCTACGAACGGTTTTAAAACAACAACAAAAAAATGCAGTCAGATTTAATTGTTAGCAATAACCTCTTAAAATAGCAGCTCATTAGCCCGAGTGCAAACAGCTTAAAAGTGTCGGCACGATTTGTGGGATCCTGTGGGATCCTCTGGGATTTTTTGGGCTTCCCGTAAAACTAGAGTGAGGAAGAAACACAGTCCCTCAGTCCTGAAGAGGAAAAAAATGTATTTTGCTTCATATTAGCACAGGAAAAAGCATCTCTGATACATGGGAGGCTGCCATTTTGTTGCAAACCCAGGCTCTCAAGGGCTGCAGGGATAGCAGTGTGGAAACACCGGGCAGCACGGAGCAGGGCAGAGCTTCGAGCAGTTCGCAGCCAGTAAGGAGGATCCTGCGGCAGGCATGGGCAGTGGAGGAGGGCAAGACGCTTCCAGCTGCTCGCTGCAGCCCAGCGGGAGCACAAGGACAAAGGGCCCCCGGCTCACCCCACTGCACCCTGTCCTTCCCCCACGCCGCTGACCCCATTTCCCCAGGGCAGAGCCACGTTTCCTGCCCCGCTGCCCACCGCGGCCCCGCTCAGATGCCTGGGTGCAAGGCCCACCAGTGCCTCAACCCTACCACGCCAGGGAGCTTCAGAGCATCCTCGCAGTTAAGGTCTTGCTTAAGTGCTTTCCTGGATAAAAACTTCTTAATTCACCAGGTAAGTGCCTGCAGGGCAGGAACAGCCCTGCTTCCCTGTCCTCTCTTTAAGGGGTGGGAAAATGCCGTGGCTTTGCCTGGAGGCAGCTGTGCCTTGGGCTGGGAAGGGAAGAGGCTGGGCTCTCCCCCTCCATCCCTACTGCACCCAGCTGGTGCTGGTGCTGGCTCCGAGATGGGAGGCACTGGCTTGCGGTTGATTTCCAGGGGCACAACAACCCATGTGAATTTCAGGTTTTTAATGGGCTGGCAGGGCATCTGGGAGGGAGGAGAGGGAAATAGAATTTTCCTTCCCCCAGAAATAATTTTATGGAAGATTTTAAGAGAGATTTAAAGAAGAACCTCTTCCCTCCCTCCCCCCCTACTCAATGGTACTGTGCATTTTAAACAGTTTGCGGAACGGAATTAATTAATGCAGGCAGCAGAACCCGAAGCTCTGCAGCAGCCTGTCCTCTGCACAATGGAGATCCTACTTTTTCTGCCCTGCCTGAGAAACACATGCCCAAAATCCAAGTACATAAATTTCTTCTAACCTAATTCATTTTGTAGATTGATGGAGAAAATCCATAACAAATATTTATGACTTTGCCATAAATAACCCTCACAGAAGTTACAAAGAGCTCTGGCGAGTCTCAAGGTAACTTTCAGCGAGTTCCAGGGGTCAGGGCAGATCGGGATACTGAGTCTATAGTGTTCGAGCCTTTGGCTCATCTGTTTTGAATTATTGGTATTACTCAGTCGAGCAGCACTCTCAATGGAGTAGCTGTGCTGTGATTCCACACCATATTTTATTTCTATGGTAGGAGAGAGGCTTCAATAACTATTAGTTGTACTCTGTCGCAGCCAGCAAAAAACCAGGCCCCAGCAAGCACGGGTGAGTCCTGCCGGTGTCTGCAGGCTGAGCTGTGCGGGCTGCGGGACGAAGGTGTCCGTGCCCGAGCGAGACCTGCCCGGACTCAGGGCTGGGCACTGTGCATTCTGCCGCCAGTTCGAAACCCCGACCTGCCGAGATGCTCGCAGGCTGTCTGGCATGGACGGGTCTGGCACTGACCAGAAGGTGCCTGTGTGGCCCCAGGGTTTGCAGAGGCAGTGGCCGATGCTGCCGGCCAGGCTGGCACCAGGCAGAGCTCGGGGCGCCCGGGGCAGATCTGCCCTGCACAGACCCAGGGAGCTGGCAGTCCCCTTCAAAGGGACGTTAGC